TGTGTGTGTGTGTGTGTGTGCCTCTGATAAATTGTGTTAGAATACCTGAATGTACATATGAGTGTAAAAACACTAATACAATGTATACTACTTTTTGACAGGCGCAACAGCTCGATTGGGTAAAAGAGAAATATCCCAGCCTGTGGGAAGAAATCCTCAGTTTTGTGAAAACTGGACAGTTTGTTCCTGTCGGAGGTACATGGGTAGAAATGGTAATGAGAATTTCTTTATGATATTATAGTGTGTTTAACACCGCTTTCAATATTTAAACCTTCACTGCGAGAAAGAGATCCTCAGTGTGTTCGTCAAAATGATGAAGTCGAAGAAATCGACATTTTTTCATCTGATGGGCAATTGAAACACATTTCTCTGTGAATTTTACCGAAAAAGTGGATCGAAGGCACAAATATGAAAGTTTGCTATTTACAAGTATCTATATTTCTTTCATCTGAAGCAAAAAAAGTTCACAAGCATAGGAATATACCTATAATTTCACATGCCCTAAAAATTGACAAGCGCTCGATTCCACCGCGTCGTGACATATATATTAAAAGACCCCCAAAACACCCTAAAACCACGAGAACAGAAACCTATTAATGATGTGGACCCAAAGTGCATGATTCAATAAAATCAAGTCAGGTAGATTAATGGCGTTGACTGGTGCACACTTTATCAAATAGAACTCTCGGTTAATGAATTTTAATAGAAATACTACTTATAGATAATCACCAACGTGTTATTCGTCCAATCTGTTTAAAGCCTAGAGTAAAGAACAAGAATGTGCACCCGAACTGTATGATCCAATAAGATCAAATCGGGTAAATTAATGCAGACTTTATCAAATACATCTCTTCTTTAGTAAATAGAAATGCTACTTATAATCACTAACATTTTATTCTTCCAAATAGAGAACAAAACTACCAAGTGTTTGTGTTACTGTTACAGGACGGCAACATTCCGAGCGGCGAGGCGTGTGTGAGACAATTCTTGTACGGACAGAACTTCTTCATCAAAGAGTTCGGCATCCAGTGTAAAGAGGTGAGAAATCATCAGTAGTAAGCTTGGTTCTGTTTTGTTCTGTTGTTTTGTTTTGATTTGCTTTCTTGGTGGAAAAAAATGCACACATATATCATAATATACACACTTATTATAGGCGTAATTATTTTTAAAGATCGAGCAGGTTTATCAATGGAACATGAATTGTATAAAACAATATTTGGATACTCTAGAATGGTAATCAATGTATTATTTAATGTTCCCATTATTTGGAGATTGATTTGATTTTTTTTCTTCTGTTTATGTACACAGCCTATTTTTTAAAAGTTGTTTTGTTACACAGTGTCTAAGCACTGCCCAAGTTAGTAAGTTAGTTAGAGTCAAGTATTTTTTTTCAAACTCTGTATCCCCCCTCCCCTCCCCCCCCCCTTTAACGTACGCATAGCCAACGTGAGTTAATGATTGAAAGGACTTTTTTTTTGACAGAGATAATACAAGGAATATCCCATCGGTCGACATTCTAAATCAAGCTTACAGTCTACGAAAGTCTTTTTATTCTTTTTGTTTCAGGTTCAATTCACATAGATCTGAGTATTTAACATTTTAACTTTTGTTATTGTAATAGATTTTCCCACGATTTCCAAGTTTACATTTTGATTGGTATTTTAATAAAAATTTGCCGGCATATTTGTCATACTAATGTCTAACTTCTATTGAAAAACCTACAATTCTCATTTCAGTTTTGGTTACCGGATACCTTTGGCTACTCAGCCCAGTTCCCACAGATCCTGCGTCACTGCGACATAAACAGATTTGTCACACAGAAAATGAGTTGGAGTATCATCAATAAATTCCCTGTAAGCATTATAAATTCCCATTCGATGAAACTTCTTTTCTTTATATATCATTATGCCTCTAGATGTAAGAATCATCACATTTCAAAGATAATGAAAGGAAGTGTACACTATTGATATCGAACTCTACATAACCTTTCCATTGTTCAAATTGTTTCATGCCACAATTCATTAGCACATTGCTATATGTAATGTACAGAAAGGAAGTGATACACTGGCGTTTTCTGTAATCAAATTAATATTGTCCCTAGAGGCAAAATTACAGCAATACCTTACCCTCTTAGCAACAGTACCACCACCACCATCACCACAACAACAACAGCAACAGCAGCAGCAACAACAGCAGCAGCATCAACAACAACAAAAACAAACGGCAAATAACATCAAGAACATCAACAACAAAAAAAGCAACATTAGCAGCAACATTAAGCAATGGTGTCGTCAACCCGCAGCCACCTCCCGAATCGTCAGCCACCTCCCAACCTTTGACACGGGTCAAACTTCCATCTATTTATAGGTAGTTACCGGATCATGTATAGGTGAAGTGATGTGCGTGATAGTCGCGATATATTATTTATTGAGATTGTTTTGGTCTCCCTTTACTCATCACCACGAGAATTTCTTGAAGTTTTTCCCTGGACTCTGCCTTTACTAAAATCTCGAATCTAGATCTAGATCTAGAGTTGTAATCTAAGGGGCAGGTTGCAGATTTCTGTTATCTAGTACATTCAAGAGATTAAATAAATTGAACTAGACTCTAGACTCTAGTAGTAGACTCTTCTACTTCTACTTCTAAACCTTCGAGATTACAAAGGCCAAGCCTAGGCTTGTAAGGATTCGTTTTGTTAAAAGTGTTGTTTAACACAAAGTCTAAGAAGTTAGCAAACTTAACACATTTTTTTCTAACGAAATGAAGCTTAAATTGACTTTTATATTGTCAATAAGAGATCAAGTTTAATCACCTAATCCTTTAAGTAAGGAAGTGGCTATCCTCACCCGGGATGAGAATAAAAACCCTACGATTGACCTCTCACCCCGGGTGAGACTTGCCAGCGTTGGCTATTCTCACCCAGTGTGAAACAAGACCTGTTTTTCCTAACTTTGAAATTCTTTCTATCGGTGTGGATGATCAAATTGACAACAGCAAAGAAAAAATGACGTTATAGCACAAAAGTAAGCTAATTTGATCGTCTACAAAGATGCTATGGCTCTATCACTTTTCGAATCGAGCCGAACTACGCGGGTAGCCATTTTGTTTTGCCTGGAAGTTCTCGCAAGATCTACTCCTCCCCCTTCTCTCTCTCTCTCTCTGTCTCTCTCTCTCTCTCTCTCTCTCTCTCTCTCTCTCTCTCTCTCTCTCTCTGTCGGCAATTTATTAAATCTGCAACCTGCAACTAGATTGCAACTAGATTTAAATTCGAGACTTTAGTAAAGGCAGAGTCCAGGGGAAAACGTCAATTAAATTCGTGTGGTGCAGATGAGTAAAGAGAGACCAAAACAATCTCTCTATTGCGACTATCATTGCTCATCACTTTGCCTAATACATGTTCCGGTAGATTTAACTACCTATAAATAGATGGAAGTATGACCCATGTCAAAGGTTGGGAGGTGGCTGACGATTCGGGAGGTGGCTGCGGGTTGACGAAAGGGAAAAGCGCCGCGGCGGCTCGTCCATAGAGCACGGTCGTGCATTGCCGCCCAAAAATTTTAATGCGCACAACTTCCACAAAGAGACAATAAAAGAACCTTTACCTTGCACCATTCAATCAGTTTTCCGTACAGGTTCCTCGCCAGAGCTTATTCGTTCATTACAACATCTAAAACTCTACAACATCTACTATACCATATCAAATTCTTGTGCTTCACCCAAGTAAAAAAATGACATGTTCAGTGGTGTTATCTATCTCATAAAAATGCTCTATGGGCCCACCCAAACAACGATGACGTTTTTACCGAGTTTCTTAGTTCATAAATGTTAATAAGGCTGCACAATCTCAATGTGCACTAGCCGAACAAAGCCCATAGAGGCAGTCTCAAAATAACGCGATCTCTGACCAGTTCACGATAGCCTACACATTTCAATGCCCGTATTATGATAGCTTTGGAGCAATCCACCGAAGTGCTCCCAGTGATTTGCGATTGGTCCATTGTCTTGCCGTTTATATCTCTAGCCCCACCTCTGTAACCCTGAACTTGAGCGAGGTCAACGTGATGTAATTAGGTCACTGTGTTAGAAGTTGGAATGGTATAGCGGTGACAGTTTTATTACTGGAGTGGATCCTATGCATGATGAATGAAGTTGATTGCAAATAAAATCAGTTTATCAAACAAAGTAACAAGAAGAGAGTGAAAGAATTAAGTCCTCAAATTAAGTACCCAAATATATCAAAATAATACAACCAACAAAAAGTGGAGTGGCTTACAGTCAGCGTTTGCAAATACTCATTGTAGGCCTGTTGTTTCTCCTGTCTGCTTTTTGGAACTGAGGACCCCAAGCAATAGTCTAAGACAGGTTTTACTGATCTTGTCTATGTGAAACAACGCATTAAAATAACGAGTCATCAAGAGCGCAGGTAAGTATCATACTTTCGGACAAGTAGACATAGCAGCGCAGCTAGTCGTTGGTCATCGCATTGCAACGTCTAACAATAGCGAACAGGTGACAAAGAACAGGCACGTATTGTGTAAGGTTATCGAGTGTATTTTGTTCTGTGAAACTCACGAACTCGCCCTTCGCGGTGATTTGTCGGGGAACAGAGGTATTAATTTTCGCTAACGCTATGCTGGCTCTTCAACATGTTTTGCCCACTCTCAAAATGCATCGGTATTCTTAGACGCGTTTGTCATCGGAATATTCCATGGCCGTCTGAAACGAAGTGGAATTTACAGTCTCGACTAATGAGCACAGTCTTCATTTGGAAAGGAGAGATCCAGCTTTGTCTTGCAGAAATTCAGTATGAGCAGTGGGACGATAATTCCACCCACGATGGTATCCTGAATGTATTAAAGAGCGAAACATTTCTCTTCTTTTTGCTCTTTTTTAACAAAGTATTCTCGCACGTTGAATCTGTTTATGGGATCCTCTAACACAGAAGTACAACGCCCATAGCAACCTAACAAGCGCTAGACACTTTTAAAGTAGCCGTCGATGAAATTAGAAACAGTATACGTATTCCATCAACAAAATAGACCACAGAAAACACGCTTCCAAGAGACGCAGACATTACAACACCAACGAAATTTAAGCAAATTAAGCCTGTGACATAATAGTTTCTCAAATTTTTGACAGTTTCTTGAAGCAAAATAAATTCAACGCACTATCAATCTTCGACTCCTCCAAATTTCAGGACTAACAAAAGTCGTTTCCTACAGTTCTTTTTGGGTCGTTTACTGAAATATAACGGTTTTGCATAAAATCAAGTTACAAACAGAATTATAAGTATTACCCAAGACTCACTGAGTCTTGGGTATTACATTGCAATGAAATATTTAAGTCTGATCAAGGTCGTACAATCCAGGGCCTTTATTCAACTCTGAAGGACTACAAACTCGACACAACATTTAGAGAAGTAAGCAAAATCCTAGAAATCGCACTGACGTTTATGTCAATCCACAAGGGCATCATTGACAGCATGCCCAACTTCAACAGAATAATGGACACTTTTGCTGTAGCAAAAGAACGAAAGGAAGACTTCTTCTTCAAATAGATTTTCTCAAAACAGGTAGGATGAAGAAAGCATCTCATTTACCACGCCATGCCCTTGACTATCTTCAACCTGCTTTGACCTAATTGTGCATGCCTACTTTTAAGACCTACGAGCCGCCCCTGGTAACAACGCCATAAACACCAGCGACATCAAACAGTGGAGAAAATAAAATTCAGTGTAAAACGGAGCAACTTTTTTTCTTTTTGTTTTTGTTTTTGTTTTTCATTCTTTTTAAAGAAAAATAAATGAGGAAGCACCGGCACATGTGCTGTTGCGGTTATAGGGCTTTGCCGAAGCATGCAGAACGCGCGATTTGGATTCACGTGTTGGGAGAATTTTAATCGACTATCTAGATCTTTCGACTGGGACGTTATATCCCTCTCAACCCGGGCGGCCAAACAGACAGGGTCGTAGCTCAGTTTATTAATGTCCTGTTCTGTTGCGTGTATGTGTGAGTGCACCTAACCTTTGTCACATCCACCGCTATTGTAAACAATCATGACAAATGTTCACATGTGAGATGAATAAAGACTGCCAGTGTCACTGTAATTGTTATAATTGTCTTGTCTAATTTCCGCTGACTTCTTATGTTTTCAGCATCACACATTTCACTGGGAGGGCATCGACGGCTCCAGTGTACTGGCACATTTCCCTCCCGGGGACAGTTACAAGATGACCGGGACTGTGAACCAGGTACTTGCAGTTTTTGTTCACTGACTGTAGTTCTATGTACAAAAAAGTAGATTAAGGAGATCGTGGGGGAAACGTTAATTATTTTAAAATTCACATGCAAGTCGCCTTTCAGTTGTTTCCCTTTATCTCAACTCAATATTTCTCACACAAAAATTATATCGTTTATTTATTTTAAAATTCTAGTTTTAACCGCATTTATTTGTGGACATTCATAAAACAGATTTGTTGGTCTTCTTATTCTGTGGGCCCTAATGAGCATAATGTTTGCGCAGGCATAATATGACCTAATGCTGTAACTGTGGTGAGCACAGTAAAAAGTTTACAAAACTGAAAACTGAACATTATTATCATACATTATTGAATACTATTGTCATTTTTCAGGTTCGGCGGTCATCCACGAATTTCCAGGATAAAGGCCGCTCAAACCGCAGCTTGTTTTTGTTTGGCTATGGAGATGGCGGGAATGGACCCAGGTATGGAGGATTTTTGAAAAATATTTCAGGGAGATATATATATATATATATATATATATATATATATATATATATATATATATATATATATATATATATTAATATATATATATCGAGAGAGAGAGAGAGAGAGAGAGAGAGAGAGAGAGAGAGAGAGAGAGAGAGCGCTTTTAAAAACATTCTAAAGACACGTTTGTTTCTTTGTTTATTTTAATGTAGATGTCTTTCACGTCTCATCGACACAGTTTAGATCATTTAGGAGGTTTGCTTCGCCCCCCCCCCTTCCTTTCTGGGTCAACCCTGGTTGAGAAGGATGCAAAGTCCCACATGCACAGAAAGACACTCAATCAAATTCTTCGTTCATGGGAATGGAATTCAGGTTTATTTTACGTGTGATCACAAAACACCTAACCACTACACCATAGACGCCAATTATATAAGAAGAAGGGAAAACATTCAAAACCTGGCAGGAGTTAATTTTACTTGCTTTTCTCGGTATGGTAATTTTAATCTTTTACCTGATTAAGAGTTGCCACATCTGAAAGTAAACCACATATTATGGCTGAACAGAACAAGTTTGAGTACTTTGGTCAGAAGAAGCCCAGCAACACCATTACGCCCATTTGGTACAGAGAAAACGTAAGATAGACAAAGGGGGAAAAATAAGTAAGACTTAACAGGGATGCCCCCGAAACACCCGCAAACGGAAAGTAGAGGAACTAGGAATTATGTACCCATAGATATGATTATCATGGTTCCTGAAATTATCGTTTTTCTCGACCAAATAATGTTTCTCAAGCTATGAAAGAGAGAATCGTATTGATGAAAAGGAAATCGTGCCCATTGTATATATTATGTTTGCTTTTTGCTTTCATTGCAAAGCGTTTCAGGATAAATTCACATCTCTGTGTTTTTCTTTCTTCCACTCTCAGTGAGGAGATGATGGAACGCCTTCTGAGAATGAAAGACTGTGACGGTTTGCCCAAGTGAGTACAGAGTCTAAAAAATTATAAATATTACCAGGTTAAAAAGAAACCACCGAGAGATGGATTAAAGACCTTTTGTCTCAATAACTACATGACCATTAATACACAAATCTAGTAAAGATCAATACCCATAACGTCATCTTTACAACAACAACAAAAACCGTGCCTAAACAAACACCGTAGTTTTTCCCCACACGTTAAACTAATCTAATTGAGAACGTATATTTTGCTCACTTGAAACACGCTCTGTTTTGGGTTCCTAAAAAAGAAGCATAATACTTTCGTTAGTCATACAGAAGTTTAAATTTCCATTTTCTTTACCTCAAAGTTTAAACGTTTTATGTAAATTTGTGATGGTGCTGATTTGCGTAAGGCGGTTCGAAATGTGCCGCGACTTTGCCTTTGGAATACGTCTGGTCGGACTTGTGAGTACGCTACATGCTTAAAGAGCGAAAGTTTTGACAAGGCTTCTATTCTAATCACAGGGTGCATATGAGCAACTCGGACGAGTTCTTCGATGCCGTGGAGAAGGAGAAGCCTGATATGCTGTGTCGCTGGAGGGGAGAGCTCTATCTGGAGTTGCACAACGGAACCTACACCACGTGGGCTCAGGTAACACTGGCTAGAAAAAAAAGGTTGGGAGGGGGGAGGGGTGGGAGTCGCTTTGTATGGTTATAGAGTGGGTATACAGCTCTGTTTTTACGACATCGATTGTTGAGGCTAAAATCATGCCAAAAAGGTAGGGATCAGTACAGTCACAAATGCCAATGTGGAGAGGCGGACCAACCTGTGGAATACATCCTTCAGCACAGCAAGACACACTGGGCCCTGAGACAGGAAACGTGGCCAAACCCATTGACACACAAGAGAAGCTGTACGGGCCGACAGATGAACTGAACAGGACAGCCCAGTAATATGATAGATACCGGACTTCAAGTGTGATGCGATGGAGGAGAAGAAGAAGAAGAAGAAGAAGAAGAAGAAGAAGAAGAAGAAGAAGAAGAAGAAAAGGTGTGTGTGGGGGAAGGGTCGTTTTGTTATGATTGCGGAGCAGGCATACAACTCTGTTTTAGCGACATTGATTGTTACGTGTCTCTATGGTTCATAGTTTGAAGAGAGAAATTGTTTTCAGCATGCTGGTAAGGTGATAATTTAACCTACAATAACACCTTTGGAAATAAGGAAAACGTCTAAAGCTGACTTAAGTAGACCGTGTGGTTAGTTCACCTCAAGACTTTATGTAAGTTTATGTCAGTCATCAATTACTGTGTACAATATCCCAACGGACGTGGGCTCACCGTCCTTCTGTCTGTCTGTCTGTCTATCTTCTGTCTGTCTGTTTGTGTCCCCTACCACCTCTTCCCTCTCTCTCTCTCTCTCTCTCTCTCTCTCTCTCTCTCTCTCTCTCTCTCTCTCTCTTTCTCTCTCTCTCACCCCCCCTCCCCCACACATACACTTTCTGTCTGTCTGTCTGTCTGTCTGTCTGTCTGTCTGTCTGTCTGTCTGTCTGTCTGTCTGTCTGTCTGTCTGTCTGTCTCTCTCTCTCTCTCTCTCTCTCTCTCTCTCTCTCTCTCTCTCTCTCTCTCTTCCCTCTCATTCTCTCTCTCACTCTCTATCTATCTATAATTGGCACAGACACACACACACACACACACATACACACACACACACACACACACACACACACACACACACACACACACACGCTCCCCCCTCCCCCCTCTCTCTCTCTCTCTCTCTCTCTCTCTCTCTCCCTCTCCCTGACTCTCTCTCTCTCACACTCACACACACACACACACACTCTCTCCCTCTAAAGGTGAAAAAGTACAACAGACGTTGCGAGGTGTGGCTGAAGGACCTGGAGATCGTGGCCACTCTAGCCCGTCAGAGGAACCCCAGCTACCAGTACCCCAAGGCGGAGCTGGACCGAATGTGGAAGCTACTGCTGCTCAACCAGTTTCATGACGTCCTACCCGGAACATCTATTACAATGGTGCGTGAACGGGCAAACATGTAATGAGACTTACAGGCTTATAGAGTCACAGACGGGCAGATAAGTAATTTGACTGACGGACAGACAGACAGAAGGTCAGAAAGGGCATCGGTTCGTTGATAGCCTAGTTGGGATCTATTAACGATATTACTATTATGGCGGGTATTTAACTTGCAAGACCAAACAAACAAACAAAAACCAAAAAAAATGAAATTGAAAAATAAAATAGCCGCCATTTAGGTAGGAGGAAAAGAAAAGTAGAAAGAAAGAACGGGTAAGCGAGTAAGGATGACGTCACATAATCAGTAGAAATAGTCAGAGAAATGACATACAGATAAGGAAAGCATAATATTATAAGGACTTGCTGATGGGATAAGAGTGAAAAGCTTTAGGGAGAGAGAGAGAGAGAGAGAGAGAGAGAGAGAGAGAGAGAGAGAGAGAGAGAGAGAGAGAGAGAGAGAGAGAGAGACAGACAGACAGACAGACAGACAGACAGACAGACAGACAGACAGACAGACAGACAGACAGACAGACAGACAGACAGACAGACAGACAGACAGACAGATAGAGGAAGAGACAAGAGACTGAGAGAAAGATAGAGACAGAGAAAGAGGGAGGATATTCTTTGTTTTAATTAAGAGAATCGCGTTTTGGGGGCAATTTGCATTTCGTTTAAAACAAAAACGTCTTGTCCTGATCAGGGTGATTATTTTTTAGACAGTGTGTTTTTCTTTTTTCAGGTTTTTGAGGAAACAATGTCACACTATCGAGGTAGGTTTACTGAAAATGATAATAATGATGATGATAATTATAATAATAATAATAATAATAATAATAATAATAATAATAATAATAATAATAATAATACAATAAACAGATAAATAGATATATAGATAGTTAGAAAGATAAATAGATAGATAGATAGATATGTATATAGATAGATAGATAGATAGACAGACAGACAGATAGATAGATAGATAGATAGACAGACAGACAGATAGATAGATAGATAGATAGATAGATAGATAGATAGATAGATAGATAGATAGATAGATAGATAAATAGATAGATGGATAGGTGGCATAATTTGTATAGCGCAAATTCTGTTCAACAGTAATTTCTGTGTGCTTTACAATCTATATACATGTATATATATTAAGTCTTATACGGGGTATCGACAGTATTAAGGGGTACGCTATTTTAGGGACGTTCCTCCACCTTAATACCCTTGCAAAATTAAAAGAAAAAGCCTCTGCTTCATATAGCGCCTGTCTATTCCTTTTCCACTACGATTAAAGCCTGGGTTGTTCTGTTCTGTAAATTAAACATCGAACAAAAATGCATTTAATTTGCATTCCATGGCTTTCATTGTCATTTAATTAGAACACGAATATCGAATACATCCATGCTTGCTTCTGTGTAGAATTGTATTTGGCGCCTTGCTTACTTTTAAAACGGATTTTAACAGTCGTTACAAATTTAAGGCTGGTGTTTCTGTAGTTTAAACTTTTATTTATTTGCTTTACTCGAATTAATCTGCGTTTGAACAAATGTATTGGTCAACGGTTTTTGTGTGTGTGTGGATTTATTTCCCTTATCTCTCAATGTAAACTGCAATAAAGCTTATACTCAGTGACATACTTACTTGTTTCATTGTGATTCTCTTTATAATGTCTTCTCCATTGCAGACATTGAAAAAACTACAAGTGCTCTGATCAATGAGGCGGCAAGAGCTGGCGTTCAGAAACAGGTGAACATTCCCTCCCTTCTGTGGTGTCTCCTTTTCAGAATACTCACCACCAGCCCCCCCCCCCCTCCACACACACACACACTCTCTCTCTCTCTCTCTCTCTTTCTCTCTCTTCTCTCTCTTTCTCTCTCTCTCTCTCTCTCTCTCTCTCTCTCCCTCTCTCTCTCTTTCTCTCTTTCTCTTTCTCTGTCTGTCTGTCTGTCTGTCTGTCTGTCTGTCTGTCTGTCTGTCTGTCTGTCTGTCTGTCTGTCTTCTCTCTCTCTCTTTCTCTCTCTCTCTCTCTCTCTCTCTCTTTCTCTCTCTCTCCGTCCCTCTCTCCTCCCCCCTCTCTCTCTCCCTCCCACCCCCTCCCTCTCTCTCTCCCTCTCTGTGTGTGTGGGTGTGTTCCCCCCTCTCTCTGTTTCTCTCTATTTACCGTTATCCGCATATCACCTTCATTTGTATGTGCATATAATCTCTTCATCAGCTTTTTTCATCCCTCATAACTGAATTAACTTCAAAGTAATCCTAACATTACTTGTTTCTTTTTCTGAAGGTTTCTTCAGTCCAAGTTAAAATAAAAGTTTCACTTAGCGTCGTCAAGCTGTTAGAATGTATTTAACTCGGAATGAAAAATTTCTCAGCAGAGAGGAAAAGCTGTTTTATTCTTTTAACTATTGTTCTTGATTACGTACTTTTTTCTTTCTTTTTTCTTTCAACATTTAGAATTTGAATTTCTTCAAAATATTTCTAGAGCACATCCAAAGAGACTATAAATTGCGCTACAAATATATATATTTATAACATTTTTAATTGCACCCCAAAAAAAATGATGAAAATTTTAGTCTTAGTACGTATTAACATCTGGGAGACGATAAGTAGGGTTTTTTCTTTTGGCTTTGAATTCTGAAAGAGACATAATAAATGATAATTCTAAATCTTTTCTTTACTTTTATCCGCCGCTTATACCCTTTTGGGTGTGGCGAGAAGAAAGAGACGTCTCTGTCGCCAGCCGGAGAGCTTGGGTCAGGGGGATGCCGTGAGTGGTTAATGTTTCCTTGACTCCATCTAGATCTATCCAGGTTTTTCTCGGTCGCCCCCTGGCCTTGTTGCGATCGAATTTTTTTTATTTAGGCACGTTGTGCTGGATGGTGTGTTGGTAATCGTAGGAGATGTCCGAACCACCTGATTAATGGTGTTGGATGTGATGCATAACATCATTTGTGCCCACCATTTCTCGGATTATTGAGTTTCTAATTTTGTCTCGCCTGGTGTTGCTTACTGCTTTTCTAAGGCATCGCATTTCACATGTTGTAATTCTTTGCTCTAATGTCTTGTTCGTGGTCCATGTTTGGCATTGATAGGTGAGTGTTGGGATGAATATGGTGTTGATCATTTTGAGTTTTGCTGTCATGGGAGTGTTAGGATGTTTCAGTAGTGGAGAAAGCTGGTAACTAACATTATTGGCCTTTTGTACTCGTGTTTCAATTTCTCTTTTCAGTCGCACATCCTCTGTGAATTTACTTCCCAGGTACTTAAATTCTTTGACCTGTCTGACACTGTTGCTGTTGATGTGTATCCTGAGTGGTTCTGGCTTTCTGTTTACTTTCATTGTCTATATTTTGTTGATTTTGATCTTCATGTCGTAGTTGTTACATTCTTCGTTTATTCTAGTGGTATGGTGTTGGAGACTTCGTTCATTTTTGTGTGCCAGGCTTTAGTCATCAGCGAAGAGTAATTCATTTAGGGCCTGTGTTGGCCTGTTTTGTAATTCTATCCATATATATGATAAATAGTAGTGGTGATAGGACACAACCTTATCTTATTCCGGATGTTATCTCGAACCATTCTGTGAGTCCTTCTGACGTTCTTACTGTACTTATGCTGTTCTCGTAAATGGCACGGATGTTATCTAGAAGTCGGCCTCTTACAGTGTAGTTTTCGAGTTCTTTCCACAGCTTGTTTCTGTTCACTCTGTCGAAGGCTTTCTCCTGGCTGATAAATACTATATTTAGTTCCATGTTGTGTTTTATTACTCTTTCGCACATTTGTCGTAGGGCAAATATTGCGTCAGGGCATCCTCTTCCCTTTCTAAATCCCATTTGGCCCTCACTCAGAAATGGTTCAACTTTGTGTCTTGTTCGCCATTCCAATATCTTGGCCAACATCTTGCCCACATGGCTTAGCAGTGAAATGCCTCTATACATTCTACAGTCTCTCTTACTGCCTTTCTTCTTTCAGATTGGTACTGCGACCGCTTATTGCCAGTCGCCGGGAACTTTTCTTTCTGTCCATACTTAATTCTAAACCAACCTGTTGTAATTCGCCTATAGTTATGATATGGAACTATTCAATCTACCTCTATTTAACGTTATATCGTAATTTAGGAACAGTAGAGGTCTGCATGAAATTCTATCGTTATAAGTATAAATGATGCATAGCTGTAGTATCATAAAATTGATTTTTTTTTGTTATTCAGACTACGCCAGCAGAAGGCACACCCAAGGAGACATTCTTGATTAACACCCAACCGTTTCCCCGTCGTGAGGTCATTGAGTTTTGGCACCAGGCCAACAATAATGATGAGATACTCCCGGAAGTCCGTGAACACAATGTTTCTGCCGACATTGCATGTGGTAGGTATATTTATTTAGTGTACTGTGAACGTTCAAAATCTCTCTTGTCGTTGTAAAGGGCAAGAACGATTATTATGAAGATGAATGAGAAGAGAATGATGGCTGATTTAGGACAAAAGGTAACTGCAGAGAAGGGTGAATAAGACATTGACGTACAAAGATTCGAATGAGTTCAAATAAAGAGTAAGGAGGGAATGATATAATTAAGACATATACTTCATTTCTTTGTTTAGTTATATATTTTATACATGAACAAAATCTTAAGAGAATTAAGGGAAAACAGATGGCATCATTATTGGAATTGTTTTATTTTGTTGTTATTCATATTGGGGATTTTTTTCTTGCGGGGAGGGGGGAGGGGGGGTATCTACAGTGGAAACCTGATATGACAGGGATGGTGGGAGTAGAGAAAAAGTCCTGTTATATCCGATCCCTGTTAAATCAGAAATGCAAGGAAAGCAAGCATTTGTGGACTAATCCAGCTGTACTTATTCATGGGTAGTTTCCCTTGCCACAAGTACCCACGAACAGGGGTATTGGCACCAACTTTCTCCTTGCCTTCTTAAACCATATCAGAAGAGCTTGGTCCACAGCATCTGCATCGGGTAGTCTCATCTCTCATCTTCTTTCGATCCGGAGCAAACTTTCCTTTGGAGTATGCTGCCACTATCTTCTCTCTATCCTTGATAATGGTGTGAATCGACCCTTGTGGAATGTCGAACTGACGACAAATCTCTGCCAGTGGAGCTTGCTTTTTGTCAACAGTCTGGATTATTACGTATTTTTTGTCACTTGGAAGGCATTTTTTCTTGCGCGTGACATCGTTGGTGACACATTACGCGTGCGTGTTGCTAGGTTTCGGGCTAGATCGAGGTCTGCAGCACACGGCAGCCCTCTCTCGCTTCATACGCGGTGTGTGCTTGCAGTGGCATGGCTTGCGTGGGCTTGCTCCAACACTGCGTTACTCTCTCTCTCTCTCTCTCTCTCTCTCTCTCTCTCTCTCTCTCTCTCTCTCCTTCTCTCTCTCTCTCTCTCTCTCTCTCTCTCTCTCTCTCTCTCTTACTTTTTACACATTGTTAACGAGCCTTTGTTCCTGCTATAACCGGTTGGGCTCCGATGAGGCCCTGTAATTGCCGATAACTTTTAATAGAGACAAAGAGTAGGAAGAAACGGGGATTTAAAAAATCCCTGTTATTACCGGGTCCCTGTTATTACCGGGCCTGTTATGTATGGTTTCCACAGTATATGGCTTAGTTCGGAAGAGGAGGTTCCCATCATTAGATGAATGGCAAATAATAATAAAAGTGGGCCTTGGAAAACAGCTTTTCATTTACTCCTCTTGCCCCAAAATGTTTTTGTGTTGACTATGGTTTCATATCCAGGGAATTGTTATTGTAACTTGTTCTCTTCCTTCCAAGTTGAGGTGGAGGTACCCCCTCTGTCCATCAGATCCCTCAGTGCTTGTGAGATTACTAGAGCTCAGAATGGGCAAGCTGGGACTGACAATGTGTCTGTGAAAAGACAGGTGAGTGGGACATTTTACACCGGACTATTAATCCTATAAGGCGTGGCATCATGGTGAAGTCAGGCGCCCAATAAAAAAAAATCAGCATTGAAAAAAAAAATTCCTTCCACTGGGCTCAACACCTTTTATGGTCATTTGAAAACATACTTCTGCGTGAATTTAACTGAAAAACGCTGATCAAAGGCGAAAAAAAAAGTAACATTATGATGTTTCCAAAGACACGCAAACTTTGGAAGTCAAAAATCTTTTGAAGTCACCAAACTTTGTGGCCATTTTCTCGCAAATTGTACCACTGACACCAGTCGACCCCTCCCTCATTCAAATGCAAATATGTCGATGTCTATAACAGCCAGGTATGTATTTTTAAAATCCAAAGCAATATAATGAACGAGCTTTAATATGATATCAATAACTCTATATGCCCAAAATATGACAAGCGCCTGATTCCTTTATGTCGTGACACATATTTTCCTGTACACTGTGTCTTCGGTTTCATCCTCTCCGCTTTGGATGGACAACATAGTGTTGATAATATGTTTGTTGTTTTTTAAAACTAAGACAAATGATGCAAACAATCCAAAGATAGTTACAGATTACGAGGTGCTTGTTACTTTTATAAGACTGTTTAGGTATCGTAATTGTGTAATTGTGTACACGGTGGGGGGAGGGTGTCTTTCTAGCAACGTTGAATTAAATCATTCCTATTTGATTAAAATGTCGTCAAAGAACTTTTAAAAAAACTATTGAAATCTCATTAAATGAGTAAGCAGTGTAAACTACATAAATCCGATCCCTTATGATAATTCCAATTAATCATAGCATAGCACGATTATTGTTATACTGTTGTTACTGTTATTATTATAATTATAATCGTTAGAATCAGTATTATCATTCTTATTGCTTTAATAATCATTATCACTTCTCATCTTCTTCTACTTCTTCTTCTTCTTCTTCTTCTTCTTTTTCTTCTTCTTCTTCTTCTTCTTCTTCTTCTTCTTCTTCGTCCTCTTCTTCTTCTTTTTCGTCCTCTTCCTCTTCCTCCTCCTCCTCCTCCTCCTCCTCCTCCTCCTTCTCCTCCTCCTCCTCCTCCCCCTCTTCCTCCTCTTCTTCTTCTTCTTCTTCTTCTTCTTCTTCTTCTTCTTCTTCTTCTTTCCGTCATTATAGTTACTACTTTTATAATCATAGTTATTTTCTCTACTCACCTCAGGAGGTTCAACCATTTGGCGAAGTATTTGTCTTAGATAACGGGATCATCAGAGCATGTGTTGATCGCAGCGGGAGGATCGTGTCGTTAAAGAGATTCGACAAAGCCGCCAATAGGTCTGTTCTGGGTGTTGTTTTTTCTAGACAAGAGATACGCTTGGTAGATTACAAAACGCGTCGTTCCCCGAAGAGGCAGACGGACAGGACATTTTCCTTTAAATTTTAAAGAATGAACCCTATAAATGGATTGGGGGAATTTTTTAACCTCTTTCGGATTGCGGATTTCCATGTCGCACTTGACCAGATTGGTTTTTAAAAAATGGTGTTATTTTAAACAAACTTATTTGAGAAAAACTAAGCTGCAAGTTCCCAGTTGCTCTTCTATCGTGTGACGTTGTCTTTGGTACCTTCAGGTCCATGCCTGGCTCTGTCTTGAGCGGTTTGGTTGTATCATTAAGTGGGTCTGGCAGTGAAAGGATTAAAAATAAATGAAAGTCTACTGATCAAACTGTTGGCATGAGCCTATATGTTCACTGGTTTTTCACTGTGCAGGTGGACCAAAGAAGCTGTAGATCCCCAACAGCCCATGAACCAGTTTGTGATCTACGATGACGTTCCCCTTTACTGGGATGCCTGGGACATCATGGACTATCATCTGGAGACCAGGTACATTCTTGACTATTGTAATGGTAAACAGTTTCTATTTTGTTTACCAAGGATAGTTTGTTCCAGACTTTTCACTTCTATATCTTAGATGGTTATAAATTAATATTATACGTCCCCAAAATCGCGTTGATGGCATTGATATTATTGAGTTTTAGCAAAATTCTTTTTAAAGAGTAACGTACCTAGAATACAAAGAGCAGAAGTAGCAATAATTGCGAAAAAAACCTAATTTCTCACAAAAACGTAGCAAAAAAGTTTTGATAAACTCTTGTTACAACACTTAAAAATTGGGAGCTTTCCATCTCTAATTAGTGGACACTGCTTTTTTAAAAATCATTCATACAGGAAAACCATCTCACAGACGACATCAGCAGACAGCTACAGTAACAAACTGAAGGCTGTTGTTAAGGTGAGAAATTAAATTTCTGGGTTCTTCTTGTGTCTTAGTTCAAGAAGCAGGGCGTGCCTAGATAAATCGCAAGCCAAAATGATTTGTTTGTTATATTGACTAATAGTTCTGCACAATTGTCTGTCATAATAATTACCCTGTAGGATCATTATTGTTTTCTTCATTATGCTGTTTTGTTAGATAATTCATTTGATTTCCGCAAAATAAGCAGAAGATACAACTGACTGAAAGAAAAACAATTAAGGAGTATATTGAGTTGCATTGATGATAAGGAAATTGCTGTGCCGTCAGGCAAAAGAAAACAGTACAAGAGAGCACCTCAGAGTCATGACTTGGGATTGCCGTTTCCTTCCCCCACCCCAACCATGTTGATACTTGTCAGAATTCTTGCTCACCGCAGTCTCTTTCTCTGATCACCATCTGGTGAAAGCGGACACATAAGATTGAAGCGATTTAAACCAAGATTGTTTGACTGTTTTAAGGCTCTTCCTCTTCTCTGTACACGTCTAATGGAGATAATTATTTAAAAATCATAAATCTGACCTCTTTGATAATATTTCAGTGTTGAAAGGAGCAAGTGCACTGACTGTTCAATTCCCATGAATGTGTCTTACTCAGAAGTTTCTCCCCAGGTCGGGCTGAAGATCAGTGACAACAGTTCCATAGAGCAGGAGATCGTGTTGGACGCAGACAGCCCTTACCTCAGGGTCAATTTGAAGGTGAGGTGTAAATTCTGTCTTAGGGTATTCTCACTCTATTCAGCACTATTTTATTTGATCTTCTCTCGTTTCGTTGGTGGCTCATCTGTCATCATTATTCATGTATTTTCTTGTTTCAACTCCTAAACCAAAACTTAACTCTCCACACTTTCTAAAGATGTTAAGAACTGAACTTGCTTCCAATGGAAAAAGAAATTGTAAATAACAACGGCACCATCAACAGGACGAAAACTAGCGAGATTTTGAGATGTTACGGTGCTCTTTTCACATGCATAGCACCACAGCAACTGTGCTGTTGGCGATTCTGGATCAAAATTCTAACGAGGCATAAACCCCTTTACTGATTCAGCCAGGACTTTCTCAACTCTTAAGCATGATGGTAAAGCAATTCTGGCAGTGATGAGGTTTTATGAAAATTGGAACGCCCTGTAGATTTCACAGAGAAGTTGTTGCATGTTGAAGATCCATTGGTAGTCCAAAATCGATAAGAGTAGGCTTCGGCCGCCACCCGAGCAAAAATCAAAATTTCTTACCAACTGAAAATGTTAGGTGTGTCCGCGCGCTCATATGACCTTATGCAGTTGCGCGCGCTGTAAAAAAAACTTACAAAAAAACAAACAAACAAACAACAACAACAACAACAACAATAACAACAACAACAACAACAACAACAACAAAGAATATGGTCTTCGGCGTCCTAGTTGTAGCGGCCAGGCGCTTAGCTGTCGCTTGCAGAAGAACTGAATTTGATCCCAATGTGGGGAGAATCTTTATCGAGAATATGTCCTTTTGCAGGGATCTTTTATACAGGGTGATCCAAAAAAAAACTTTACAACTTGTTTTGTAAATATCTTCCTCCATACTGAAGTTTTGCGTTTCAGATTTGAATATAACATTTGAAAGCCAAAAGGAATTTGTCTGATACGTATTTAAGATTAGTCCATTGAATGGTTTTGCTCTATATAGCGCATTAAAAAAACAACCCATTTTTCAACCTTGTCGCCATTTTCATAGTTTGACGCACCAGTTCGCATTAGGCCTACCACTAAAAGTTGCAACAATCGCGCCATATTGCAAGCTACAGCTGTCTAACAAGTCAACAGAAGTCTGCAGATATTATTTTTCCAAATTTTGTTTGCCTGCTGAGATCATGGCTACCTTTAGTAAAGAGCAGAGAGCTTTTGTATTGAACATTACCTCTCCACAAACTCACCATCCCTGACATTTCGTAAGTTCTGCGCTCGGCATGGAGAGAATGTTTAGGTGCCCTCAAGACCTTTGGCATCATGAGTAGAGAAGTTCCGTCAGTTTGGATCTATAGCGAATCAGAACTAAAAAGTTCTTTAAAAAATGACAACTTCAGGTCGAACACACACCATGCGCAGCCCTTTAAACGTCACCGGAGTGCAGATTTCAGAAGCCGAGTCCTAAGAGACGTCTGTCCGTAGACGATCTACACCTAGGACTTTCCTACACATCAACAGTCTGCATTCTCATGGCATATGTTAACCTACGACTATACCTAGTTCATCTTTGCTAGGCTGAGATGACATGGATCAGAGCCTTGGAGTAACTATATGATCAGAGCATAGCAATGTGTTCATGATTCCTCGATTGTCTTGTAAAAAGGGATCTTTTCCTCGATGACATTTGGTTTAGTGCAAAGCCCATTTTCACCCTGCAGGATATGTTAACTTTAAAAAATCCTGTCAATTGGGCACCCCCCACTCTATTGTCTCTAGAAGCCATTTCTTAGTGAACATGTACAGTGTATGTGGCTTTAAAAACTCATGGTTTAGCAGGTCCTTGTGTTAGGGCGCCAGTGAACATTTCGAGCGACGCGTTAAAAATGTGTCGAGTCCAAAGGATGGAATGTGGAGCACTGCTTCTAGGAATTTCAGAATGAAATCATTAGGTTTTTAAAACTCTGTAAAAGTAATTAAATATTGTTTAAATGTCACAGGGATGGAAAATTAATGTCACAGAGAAAATAAAGAAAAAGCTCAACTAATCTTTTCACGACTTCCTTTACAAGATTTTTAAACATTGGTGAACTTTGCGTTTTTGGGTGCTTTTTTCTTTTAGCCGTTTCCGTTTTCAAAACATATTTCTTCTTCTTGGATTTTATATCAAACAAATTCCTTTTGAATGATTATGTCTGTTCCAAATTACAGCATTCTAGAACAATTTTTGCGCGAGATATTCAGAAAAAAAGTTGTAAAGTTTTTTTTGCATCACCCTGTAATTCTCATTTCGGGTTGGCCCTGATAGACATGGTCGAAATCCTCTTCCTAAATGATCCATACTGCGTCGACGGTGTCAGTAAAAACCTACATTAAAAAACAAAGAAACGAAACAAAATAAAACAAAGCAAAAAAAAAAAACAACAACAAAAAACAACGATTGCTCTGCTACCACCGAGGTTCTAAACTCTAATGAGGCTCAGGTAAAAACTGGCAAGTTACGATCCTGAGATCAGGTTGGAAGGATGTTAAGCTGTCGTATATCACGCCAACAGCAATATTATAACGATGCCATCTTTTCTGTGGCCGAGAGATTACACGGGCACCCAGTCAGCTCAGTTGACATCCTTCTGAACCATTGAGCTGATGGTCCTCTTTTGAATCCCAGACTGGGCATTCTTGAACTGGGATAGCTATGTGGATTTTTCAAAGATCTTAACCCAATTGACTCACTTCTATTGGAGATGGAGGTCCTGCCTCTTAAATCACCCGAAATAATCCCGACAGGGGCGTTAAACTTTTACACGTACTTTACCTTTACAGACTACATGGCATATGAACCGTAAGTGTCTCAAGGTCGAGTTCCCCACCACTGTGCACGCCACTGAAGCTTCCTACGACATACAGAGTGGCTTTCTGCGCCGACCCAACCACTACAACACTTCTTGGGACTCGGCAAGATATGAGGTGAGATATAGGAGAGTAGAAATGTGCTTTTTCATAATACATTCATATTGGATCTGATCTACAACATGGAACTTGGGGAAATGATATTTTGCATGTGAACATGACGGGTTAATAAAACCTTTTTACTCTCTCTCTCTCTCTCTCTCTCTCTCTCTCTCTCTCTCTCTCCGCTCTCCCTTTCTCTCTCTCCCCCTCTCTCTCCCTCTCAACCCTCTCTCTCTTACTCTTTTACTCTCGCTCCCTCTCTCGGCGCTCCATTAGCTCAGTTGGTATTATGGGGGACAACGGAGCAGATGGCCACAGTTCGAATCCTAAACCGGACCGGATATTCTTGAACTCTGGTCGTTTGTCAGGTTTCCATGGATTTCAGCCCATTCATTGTCTCTGTCCTATCGGAGACTGACGTTAAATTCGGAGGTCCCTCCTCTGAAATAACCAATTAGTATTGATAGAAACATTAACCTCCCCTCCAAAAGACAAAAAAAGAAGTATCTCTCTTTATCTCTCTGTGTCACTCTGTCGTTGACTGTTTGTGTGTCTGTGTGTCTGTGTGTCTATCAGTCTGTCGGTCTGTCTGTCTATCTTGGTTCCACAGTCTTTTCAGCCCTCACTCTCGAACAAAAAGACATCATCATAATGCACTCTCCCCAGGTTTGCGGCCATAAGTGGGCGGACCTATCGGAGCATGGCTTTGGTGTCAGTGTTATGAACGACTGCAAATATGGCTGGGCTGCAGTAGATGGAACCCTGCGTATGTCCCTGTGAGTATTAATTTGCTTTTATTTGATTTTTGTCCCCGAAAACAGGAATGACACATTAATAATTACAGCTTCGGCGAGTAGTAGTAATAGTAGTAGTATAGGGTTTTACGGCGCTCGAAACTGCTATGGTCATATGAGCGCGCGAAACACAAGTTGTTTACTTTCTCGCAAAAGTTAACTGCACGATTGGTTAACTAATTGACTTTAAAATGCTAAAATGTTAAAATATTAAAATTCAGTGTAAATATATTTGTGATTTAAAACAACTCTTATAAGTAACAATAAAAATTTTTAATAGTACGTTTTCATTTCACAATTTGCCATAAAGGCCAATGGCCTTCATAAAATTCAAAATTTTGCTGGGACCAACGACGGAAAAAATATCTTGCAATTTCTTGCCTTTATAATATTTCCTTCGGGTCTCTCCAAAGTCTAGACATTCTGTTAAGATGGTAAAATCTGTGTCGCATCCGACACAGAACGGCTTCTCATCTCCCTGTAGGAGGTATTTGTGGGTCAGGGCCGTGTGTCCGATGCACAATCGAGTAAAAATGACTTCGTCACTTCTGGGGAGGTCCGAAGGATTTCGCTGTTCTAGTTTGGGTTTTATTTCATATAGTTTATTATTTTTTCTGCTTTTCCCAGTGGCTCTCCCACAGACTGGAGGTGTACTTTTTGACTTTATTTCTAAAGTCAGTCTGTGAGAGAGTGTTTGTCGTTGATCCCAGCAGAAGGGATGAAGCTTTCTTTGCCAGGTCGTCTACCTGCTCGTTTCCTCGGATGCCCACATGGCTGGGTATCCATGCGAACGTGATGTTTTATCCTGTTTCGGATAGTGTATGAATTTTCTGTTGTAGCCTAACTATTTTTGGATGTAAGAGTGTGTAGTTTGTGAGTGAGGTGATGCAAGACAGAGAGTCAGAAAGGATAAGGAAAGATTTGGTAGAAGAATTTTCTACAGAGTCCAGTGCCATGTCAATGGCAGTGGCCTCCGCAGTGAAAATGGGGGCTTCAGGATGGAGTCTCCTCTGGTGTGTATTGTTGGGAGATAGGGCTGCGGCGCCCACTTCATTGTCTTTTTTGGAGCCGTCCGTGAAGATGAGCTCCGCACCGGGGTATTTATCTATTAGTTTTTTGTATTCTGCTTAAAAAGTTTTGGTGTTTGTGCTTTCTTTGTTGTGCGTGGTCAGCTGTAGGTCTACTTTTGCCTTGGTGAGGTGCCACGGAGGGAGGTCGGGGAAAAGAATTTGTTGGATGTCTTGTTTGGAAAAGTGTAGGTTTTTGAGATCCTCAAGGATTTTGAGGCCGAAGGGTTTGATGAGTTTTTCGTTGTTTTGGAATTTGTTCATGGTTTCTGGGTTTGTTTTAAAAATGCTGTTGTGCGCTGGATTTTCCGGTGTTGAGCTCTGTTTAACTGCGTATTGTAGTGAGAGTTGTGTGCGTCTGAGTGAGAGTGGTGGTATGTTGGCCTCGGCCTGGAGGCTCTCCACCGGAGAAGTGCGGAAAGCCCCCAGAGCGAGGCGGAGTCCTTGGTTTTGTATTGGATCTAGTATTTTTAAGATGTGTGGTTTTGCCGATCCGTAGACTTGACAGCCGTAGTCAAGCCTGGACCGGACAAGGGAGATGTACAAGTGGAGAAGGTGTTTTGAGTCCCCGCCCCATTCCGGATTCGATAGAATTTTCAAAGCGTTTAACGCTTTCTGGCACCTCACACGAAGGTCTTTGATTTGTGGTATGAATGTGAGTTTTTTGTCGAAAATGACGCCGAGGAAACGAGCTTGGTCCTGGACGGGAATCCTTTCCCTGTATAGTGTCAAATCCGGCTGCAGCACACGTCTGCCTTTTCGGCAGAAGTGTACTGAAACCGTCTTTGACGGGGAGAACTTGAAACCGTTATTGTTTGCCCACGTTTCGAGTTTGTGCAGCTGCGTTTGCAGCTGCCTTTCCATAGATCTCAGATGAGGATTTTTCGAACGGCAGCATAATATCAAAAAGTCGTCAACGTATAACGAGCTGTCTATGCTGTTTTGGAGGGTTTTTACTATGGAATTTATTTTAATTTCAAATAGGAGAGGAGAAAGGATGCTCCCCTGGGGGACTCCTTCCTCCTGTTGGTGGGGGTCTGAAAGGGAGGATCCGACACGAACCTGGAAGGAACGGTTCTTCAGGAAGTTGCCAATGAAGGCAGGGAGGTGACCACGTATGCCGAGTGCGTGCAGGTCTCGAAGAATGCCGTACTTCCAGGTTGTGTCGAAGGCTTTTTCGGCGAGTAGTTCAAATGTACAAAGCCCAGAAAGCAAAAAGTTACGGAGATAGAAAAAATACAGGGTGATTTAATTAAAAAAACAACTGTACAACTTTTTTTGTTCATATTATCCTCCACACTGAAATTTTTCTTTTCAAATTTGTACTCAACATTTGGAAGTCAAAAGGAATTTGTTTGATATTCCTTTTAAATATATTCTCAGAATAGTTTTGCTCTACATAGCGCGTAAAAAACAACCCATTTTCAGCTATGTCCACATGTTTGTAGCATGGCGCACTCGTTCGTATTAGGCATACCACTAGAATTCTCAACGATTGCGTCATATTGCCAACTGCAGTAGTCTAACAGGCCAACAGAAGTTTGCAGATAGTTTTTCTCAAGTTTCCTTCGCCTGCTGAGTTCATGGTTAAGATTAGTAAAGAGCAGAGAGCTTTTTGTGTTTAACATTTCCTCACCACCAACTCATTTCGTACGTTTTGCACATGGTACTTAAATAATGTTAAAGTGCCCTTAAGGCCTTCTTTGATGTCAATGGTGGAAATGGTCCATCAGTTAGGACTTGTAGAGAATCAGAACTGAACATTCCCAGACACAAAGACCACTTGAGGTCAAACACACACCGTTTGCACTCATTTAAACGTCAATAGGGTGCATAATTCAGTAGATGAGCCCCATGGGACGTCTGTCAGTAGAAAATATACTGACGGTAATTAAAAACGCACCATTTTGGATTGAGCACATTTTGGACTAAAATCTATCCAGTGACATCAATTGAGGTTGACAAAAGTTCACGGGCAACATAGGTTACCGATCACACAAAATTTGAAGTTCCCAGTTCAAAACTGTCAATGCGTACGTGCAACATGCAAAAATTCGATGTGTTGGCCTCAAACCTAAACTTTGTTCAACGAGACAAATTTTTTGGCTGTTAGGGAGAGATTATATTCGCCCTTAACAAAAACTGACATTCTTTACTCTGTGGGACGGATTTTTTTCTGCGTAAATAATGCCGCGACTTTCCATGCAAGAACGTGAAAAGGCAATTGGAATGCCCCAAGCCGGAATGGCAGCACGGCAGGTTGCCAGGCGCATGAACTGTAGCCACTCGACTGTAATCCAGTTGTCTCAACGAAATGCAGCCACTGAATCTACAGCAGATCGGCAACGGAGCAGCCAACCACGAGTTACAACACCAGTGTAAGAAGACCGTTACATTCGCCAACGTCACCTACGGGACCGTTTCCTGCCAGCACCGGAAACAGGTCGTCAAGTGGTTGGTCGGCGTGGACCAGTATCTGAATGGGCCGTGCGACTCCGTTTGCGTGAAGCAGGACTTGCAGCCAGACGCCCGTACGTTGGTTCTGTCCTGACATAGAGGCATTGTCAACAATGTTTGCAGTGGGCCATGCAGCATTTACAGTTGACGAGAGTCGATTTGCCCTCTCGCATGCTGACAGGAGAAGAAGAGTCTGGAGACGCTCGGCGAGCGCTACGCCAACTGTTGCATGCTGGAGGACGATAGATGGGGAGGAGGCAGCGTAATGGTATGGGGAGTGTTCAGCCACGATTATTGCACACCACTGTACTTTTTTGACCAGCCTGTGAATGCCAATACGTACCAGCAGGTTTTACAGAACCACGTCGTGCCGTTATTTGGTCAACACCCAGAGCTGCAGTTATTCCAACACGACAACGCCCTCCCCCACACCGCTCGAGCCACCACTGCTTTTCTGCAGGCAAACAACATTGATGTCCTGCCTTAGCAATCACTGTCTCCTGACATGGCACCAATTGAGCATGTATGGGACGAGCTTGGCCGCCGTTTGTCTCGTGAAAGACCTCTACACAATCTCCAAGAGCCGGGGCGTTCTTTGACATATAGGTGGGTAAAGATTCCACAGGTGTTCTTTCAGGCTCTTGTCAGTTCCATGAAAAGACGCTACCAATCCTGTACATTGTATTCAGGCCAATGGAGGACATACACGACACTAAAGCAGGTGTTAAAAACTCAATTTATTGCTCTGATTTTTAAAAAATGACTTTTGTTACTTCATATTTTTGTGCTCGCGGTGCCATTTGACCTTTTCATTTCATTTCAGCTGTGAAAGTTCACAAAATGACCATAGAATGCAATGGTGTACAATCTGTTTTAAAAAATAAACACATCACCACTACTTGAATTGTTTTGTAAGTGGTGCGTTTTTAATGACCGTCAGTATATTTGTAGTAATGACTTTCCTACATCTCAACGGTCCGCATTCTCAAGGTAGATCTTCGTCTACGACTTACCATTTTCCCATTCGCAAATCTATCAGAGGATAGCAATTTGTTCATGATTCCTCGATCATTCCTTGGCAAAGCCCATATTCACTTTCAGGTTATATCAACTCCACACATTACGCTGTCTATTTGGTCTACCTCACTTCCCCCTTATTGTCGCTGGAAACAGCTCCATATTAGTATTGTAAGGTGTACAGTGTGTGTGGCTTAGAGTACTCACGGCTGAGTGGATCCTTGTGTTTGGCCTCCATTGAACATTGCCAACGACGTGTTGGAATGTGTCGCGTCCAAAGGAGACCATTGGTTCTAGGAATTTCAGAATTTAAACAAAATATTTTTCTAACTTTGTAGAAGAAAAGAAGTATTGTATAAGGGTTACAGGGATGGAAAGATTGGATTTTAAAAACAAAAGGAAATGAAAAAACAAACCAATCATTTTGTGACATTCCTTTCGAGATCTTTTAAATTAGTGCATTTTGCATTTATAGGAGGTTTTATAAAAGCCATTTTCGTTTTCGAAAATTAGTTTCTTCTTTTTGGATTTTATGTCAAACAAATTCCTTTTGAATGAATTAAACCTGTTCCAAATTACAACATTCCAGTACAAATTTTGTGCGAGATATTTAGAAAAAAAAGTTGAAACAATTTTTTGTTGGGGTTTTTTGTTTTCGGATCACCCTGTATGTTTACTCTTTTAGAAATTGGGCCTACATTACGTATTTTATCTTGTCTTTATCAACATCTCGTCATTTTAATTTCGACAAAATATTTCTGGAGCACATGCGACCAATACCACAGATTAAGAAACTGCTTTTGATTAAAATAATTGCCCATAATATCTTGAAAAAGAAGTATAGATATTTGTAATTGAAGGAGGTGGGGGCAACCTGATGTCAGAGCTAAATTAGCAAGAAAAAGAGCCCCAATGTTTTATGACTTCCAAACCTGTAGTATCCTTGGAAGCCACTAATCTAATTAAGTTGCCAATTTATATCAATTTATGTGCATTTGATCAATGTTTTTCGATAAAAATGAACCCAGAAATGTGATTTTAAGTGGACATCAACGGTGCAGAGCCGAAAAAAGCAATTAAAATTGCCCAACTGGTGGAAAAAATGCCGGCTTCTTCGATTTTATTATTTAGACCAGCACCTGATTTTACCACCATGCCACACATATTGATATCATTATTACTCCGTCCCTTTCATTTCCACAGCCTAAGGTCTCCAAAGAACCCTGACCCTGAGGCAGATATGGGCTTGCAGACGTGTGCTTATGCCATCTTGCCTCATTTTGGTAAGCAGACTTTTGTTTTGGGACATCATGATGTTGACGGTTATACTATTACTTTGTCGTTTTTAAAGATGGATTTACAGCATCTGCTCCTCACGTAGAATCTTCGATGTTTTTCCTTTAATTGGAGTAGTTGGTTGGTGGGCGCTCTGGTGTGGTCTGCTTCTACTTTCCTAACAAATATCTATCTTCTTTATCTTTCCTCCATCTTTTTGGAGTGTTTTTACTCTAGTGTAACACAACTAATCTTTGGCACTTATATGACCTTATTGTGTTGCTAAGTGCCGTAAAACTCTTACTAAACTTTAAAATAAACAACAAAAAATCCAATCAACTTAGCATTAAAGAGTCCAGCCTGGAACAGACTCTGTATGAATGTGGATGTGTGTGTGTTGGGGGGGGGTGGTAGGGGGATTTGTTTGACAAAACCCCAAATATTGCTGAACTGAATATTATATGTAGTGTTTCATTCTATTTATACGCCGGTCTAACTTTTTTACAGCGCTCTGAGACAATGCTTTATAAATAAATCATTGATGGTCTGAGACAATGCTCTCTTGACGTTACATTAATGATGTCACCTTCCATAATCCTGATTCGCCTTGGAAGACTGATGCTGCTTATTTCTAAAAGGCTAGATCTAATAAATGTTATCCCGAAATAACCTTTGACTGTGACCCTGAGAATAAGACAAATTGTACAGGGGATCAATGTGGACGTAGGCCTACGGAGGTACAAAGTCGCCAGAAATATAACTTTATTTTGCTTGCAAGCTGCCTCAAACATATCTTTCAGGGCACGGGGCTGGGAGGAATTCAGTACCTCAACTGATGAATGTATAATAAAATACACTTTATTTAGTGCACATCGAACTCTCATTTTGTTTTACAGAGTGTTTAAAAGAGATTACCCATTCAAAGTTCTGTAGTCTTTGAACCCATTTAAACAAAACTTCTTTAAATGAAATCCAGAGGTACATATCAATCTTATGATGCTCAACCAACTTGTTGGGAAAAAAGTTTCTAAAATCTCAACCAAAATCGAAAGAAACACAAACCTTTGTGACTTGTTAATACGTAATTGGAAATTTTGATCAACCGTGTAGCATGTTGATCAAAATTTCCAATTACGTATTAACAAGTCACAAAGGTTTGTGTTTCTCACGATTTTTTGTTGTTGAGATTTTTTAAAAATCTTTCCTTGGTCGATTCTGTAGGCCTCCTGCTCAACTTTGAGTTTCAACTGTTCGATTGCTTGTGGGTTGTTTCTGTTGACTCTGTAAAAAGAATGTCAAAGAAAATGGTCAAGGGGGTTCAATAGAGGAAATGCGGTGAACATCCATTTGTAAGATTTCACTTATAGGGCATTTCGGAAACCTTTCTTGAAACCACAAGTTATTCCGATCAGGTTCTTTACGTTCAGCCAAACCTGCTCTTACAGTCACATGTCCAGGACAATCAGGTACAAACGACATTTTCTCATTCATCCTTACCCCTTGCGGTTTTTTCTATAATTAATGACACATGGAAGAAGATCACCTGTTTGAGATTACCACTCTTCTCCTTGACAATGGATGACCGTCTTAGACAAGTTCGTAAGCATGTGTTTTCTTTTCCCTTGCAGGCAGTCTACAGGAAGCTGGCACCATCAACTACTCTCTGGCCTTCAACAACCCCTTGAGAAGTATGCTGGCCCCGGCACCTGTAGCACCGGAGAAGGGTGTCAGTGGCAGCGACTGGTTTGAGTTCAATTCCAACCAGGTCGTGCTTCAGGCCGTGAAATTGGTGAGTACGAAAGGCTGTATATATGTTACTGTTGTGTTGTAAAGTGATCAGAGCCTGTGTACTTTAATCCGGGTTGAGCGATGTATACTAAAAACCATACTTTTATCATAATAATAATAATAATAATAATAATAATAATAATGAGAATAATAATGAGAATAATAATAATAATAATAATAATTATTATTATTATTATTATTAGAGGTAGTAGTAGTAGCAGCAGCAACTAGTAGTAGTAGTTGTAGTAGTAGTAGGAGTAGTAGGAGTAGTAGGAGTAGTAGTAGTAGTAGTTGTAGTAGTAGTAGTGGTAGTGGTTGTAGTATTAGTGGTTAGGCTACCGGACTCGTAATCGTGAGATTGCGGGGTCGGGGGTTCGAGCCGTGGGCCCGACGTTGTGTCTTTGGGAAAGGCACTTTACACGAATTTTCCTCACTTCACCCAGGTGGAAATGGGTACCCGGCCACAGACAGCGAAAGATCATGTCAGTATGTTAGTGTTTCAGCGCCTATAAATGGCTGCTTGCACTGTATGTAGTAGTATCATAATTGATATTATTAAACCTCTGGAGTCCCCGCCCAAATCCGTAAAATTAAAAATATATATCAAAAGACAATATGATAACGATAGTTTTGAGTTGAACTCTTATCTTAGACTTTTATCCCGACTCCAGGCTGAGGACGGCAGTAACACAATCATCCTCCGTGTCCACGAGGCCTTCGGCGGGAAATGCAACGTCCGAATCACGACTCCAATCCAGTTTAAAACTGTCCAGGCATGTAATGGTCTTGAGCACTCCTCTGCGGCAGAAGAGAAACTGGTGAATGCGAAGTGGGCGTGGAAAGAAGGCCGAGGAAGCATCAGCTTCGATCTAACTCCATTCCAAATGGTCTCCCTGAAATGTTGTCTTTGAGACCGAATGGTAACAAGAAAAGTGAACATTTTTTAAAATACCAATATAATTAGGTTTTAATGTTCAGTTCTTTGAATCATTGGTAACATATTACAGGTTCAGAACTTTTTGAAAACTATTTTAATGTGAATATATTTGAGGTGATACTGTATTATTTTAAAACCATTTTTTAAAATAGGACCAGGAATGCAGATGACGTCAATCGCAGATTAACTTTCTTCAGGGTCAAACTGCAAATCACAAAAATCCATGTGTTTGTTTTTTGTGGAGAGATTATTGTGGAAGCCATGACCAATTTTTCTTCCAAATGATATTCTTCTTGCGATTAGATTTTTTCCACTTTCCTTTTATTCTGGACTTGAGATAGCTGTTTATCTGTTGACGCTGTTGTTCTCTTCAAAGCTCTACTGCTTTAAAACTGGTCAGTTTGATGAACAACTGATGTAATTTTAGCGGAGTCTCTACATCACGTGACCTTCGTCTTAGTGTATTAGAACAAAAGTTAGGGCATAACTTGAACATTTGGGAACAATAAACTTTGAGCTGATCTTGAATAGGATGGAACAAGACAGAGTTAACTACTGTGCCGATTTTAAAACTTTAGAATGCTGCTTATTGTATTTTGAACAAATGAGTTCAATAATATTATTAATAATATGTTTGTTCATCTGATGATATGGCATAGCTCGATCATTCGTCATGATAGCTGCTATTACATTTATTCAGAAACTCTTTCCTATGTTTATGCTCTTATTGATGTCATTAAACGGAAAGAATGCAAATTTTGTTACTTTTATCGAGGCTCTTATAAGTGTTTGCTTTTGGTTTGTTAGTAAGTATATTAGTGAGTTGTTTTGCGATTTATAACTTCATATTAATTTACAGAAAATGAACAAGAGGAGTGGGAAAATTGTGGAATCACCGTTGCTTTCAGAGAGAGAAAGAAAGGGGCGAAGCGAACGGGAGGGAAGGAGGAAAGAAGGGAGAGAGAGAGAGAAAGAGAGAGAGAGAGAGAGAGAGAGAGAGAGAGAGAGAGAGAGAGAGAAAGAGAGAGAGAGAGAGAGAGAGAGAGAGAGAGAGAGAGAGAGAGAGAGAGAGAGAGAGTTGGGGGGGAGGGGGCGGGGAGGGTGACAACCACAATGTTTTATTTAACACAACATCAACAGCAACAACAACAAAAACAGAAAGAGCCAGGTCGCATGACATCTTAAAAACATTTCCCACATAGCAATAACTTCATAGCGTCCGGCTTCCAAAACTCTGAACCAATAATCGCCCCTCACCCTAGCAAGTAAACGCCCGTCGCACGTGCTGGAGAACCCTCCCCTCTCATGTCGAAGCCGACTTCTTACATTGGGGGCGCCGCGGCAGTCGCACAGTATGGAGACCCACCAGGGGAACAAATAGAGGGCCAATTTGTGCGCGACATATTGTACAAATGACGTTACAGCGCCTTTCCCTCTCTTTTTTTCCCAGAAGGTTCCAAAAAGTAATGAAAAACAGAGAGAGTCTCTCGAAAAGTTCCCTTACCACTTAAGATTGGTTAGAAAGACAATTTAAAAGCGT